AATTGCGTAATGTGCTCACAACTGAAACCACAACTTCACCCCTTTCCTGTATGTATATAAACTGTAGAACATCTTACATAACTCACCAATAAAGCGTACACTGGACACGAATTAGAAGCACTGATTGAAAAAATAAATACTTAAAATATAGTTTAAATGGTTTACTTTCCACTTAAGCGCAGCTAATGCAAAATATATTAATTTGGATTTCTAAGTAATTGGGAAAAGTTACGTCTACAAATAAGTATAGGTCAAAACCCAATTTCACTCTTGTCTAAGAAATGGGCCGTTACTCAAAGCGTTATTAATTTTAATCAAAAGGCGGTGTTTGCTGATGATAATGTTGACGAATCATTTTCATGCTATGCTTAAAAAAACCGATCAACCAACCACTATACCATCAGCCAGCAGCATCGATCTCATCCGTTGGAAACAATTAGAAGTGTCATATTAAAATAAATATATAGTAATATCGTACTCAAATGAAGACAAACATTGCGGTGGTGTCAATCTCTTGTTTACAGCTCCGAGTCAGGAGTGGAAAATCCACATTTCTGTGTCAGGCCTGAGCCTATCCATAGGAAAACTACCGGTTGACTTCCGCACAAAGTGGTCAATATTGTATCGACCCCACAGGGATGATGGGCTGAGTCATCCCCGCACCCCCAACCAGCGTTTGAACTCTGATTGGCGAGTCGCCGCTCGCCCCCCCGACCACTGAGCAACGTGGCTGGCAATACCAACTGCCCATTGGACCTTTAAATGACATCCAACATAATGATAGGTAGGATGAGTGTGCGCGCAGCCCACCCAAGAAGTGCGATATTTCCCAATGTCAAGGCGCCACTATGGAGTGACACTGACCACGCTAATCACGAACGACGTGGGGTGTCCATTGCTGAGCTGATTTACACGCTGCACCAGCAGCTCTCTGTGAAGGCAATTACCGAGCCTGGCTGTGCGTGTCACGTGGCCAGAACATGGCACGGATGGGCACAGCGGTGTGGCGTCTCATGATTAAATTTGCGAGTTAGGGCCCCGGCAAGGGTTCAACCCAACCCATCACCTCTCTGGAGCTATTTAGACAGACAACAGTCACTCGGTAGAAATTAAGCATGGGCTGCCCCATGTGGAAGTAAACTGGTCCTTGCCGTGGGAATATGGAATTTTTTTTTTACCCACTGGTTCAGCACCACCAGTAGCCAAAAACTCATTGTCGCATTAGGACGATATGTCCCATGTGCACACACTTGGATGCAAGGTGCTGAGCTCGCAATGGTATAGGTACAGCCCTGCAATTGCTTACTCACACCACTGCTGGTAGAAGAAGGCCCCTGCTATGGGGAGCAGTAGAGAGCCTCTCTAGTGTGTAGTTTGGTCTACTCTTCCATGCTGGCCAGACGCCTTAGAAGAGGTGGGAGTACACACACATGCATGAAACTTGCACCATTGTTTCGCTGCCGTTCAGAACTAATTCAGGTTATGGCTGACCCTAACTCAAACCGGCGACCTCGTCACACAATGACAGCATCCGTACTTTAGGTGCTTACAGTTAATTACATTCCTAAGAAATGTTAAGTATTGCGAAGGAAAACCACAGATGGAAAAAAAAATCCCATTGGTGCCTGTGGGGAGTTATACCATCGCCACTCAGACACCCACCCACGAAATCATTCAGGATAAAGGCAGAGAGAGCGTCTTTACATTGCATTGGGCCTGAGACAAAATGTCCCGTTCCGTGCCGGGTGTCAATCGGGATGGCATGACGGGGATTCGCGGCCCCATCGTCTCCGCGAGCGAGACGGCAACGCGCAACTGCAGCGTGGGCCATCTTCACCTTCGCTCTTGCAAATGACCCACCCGAGAAATGCACTCCGCTCACGCGTCGCCTTCGCCGCCCTCGACGCGCTCGCGACGCCATTCAATGTCGCCCTTCGAAGCAACGGTCCGTCGATGCCGGCTCCGCGCACGGTACCCCGCTGAGACTTGCCTTCGGTGCCCTTGCATAGCAAACGCGGGACGTTGTTGTTGTTGATGTTGTTGATGTTGCCGGTATTGGGCCAACGTCGGCCAAATGGGTTCCAGGCACTTGCCCAACGTTGGCGCATCGTTGATTCAACGTTGGGTGAACGTTGAGCCAACGTTGTTACAACGTTGACTCAAGGTCGGGTGAACGTTGAGCCAACGCTGGCTCATCGTTGACTCAACGTTGCATGAACGTTGAGCCAACATTGGCTCAACATTTACTCAACGTTGGATGAACGTTGCGCCAACGTTGACTCAACGCTGGCATATTTACCGGCTAGACTCCCACAGCTGAGGCCTACAAACTGAACATCTGTAAAAACTGCTGGTCATCTGTGAAGAAGAGCTTCAGAGCTCATTGGAATCCCTCCAGTAACAAATACTGACTCTGAATGAAGAGGACTCACTAACTACACACTCTGGAACACTGGCTGAATCTGATGAGTGGTTTTCCACTCTCGAGCATAGTGGGGTCGTTGCAGGGATCACCAACGGTCTATAGCAGGGGGGGGGGGGGTCTGCAACTGAAAATAATAACAACAGTCTTTTATTTCGAATTTGGTTAAAAAAAACTGAACATATTTAAAAAGCCAGAACGCCACGTGAATACGAGACGGCGGCCCTTGAAGAGCCGCGCGTGGCTCACGAGACGCAAGTTGTCGACGACCCCTGCCCTATAGGAACATTCAATCCTCCTTTGTTCTATTCGAAAAAAAAAATTCTCTGTTGTAATATTTCTCTTTGCCCCCCCCGCCCCCCGCCAGAACCCCCCCCCCCCAAACTCACCCCCATGTAAAAGCAGACACTGCTGGGAGACGGTGCTCGTAACGATGAGCAGAATTCATTCGCTGGATTTAGCAGAACTTCGTGGTGCATTCTGCACGAGCCGGCGTACTGCTCACGACGTTTAACTGCGTGGGAGAACCGCTTAAAAAAAAAGAAAATTAATTCCATCAAGGGAAGCTTCCGCGAGCACAGGGCATGGGTCGGATTGAGAGCTAGGTCACACTCGGGGGGGAGGGGGGGGTAAGCTGTCGTGGTGTAAACGGTGAGCAGCGCACTGGACTTGCAATCCAGAGGTCCGCACCGGTACAACTCCATCTCCCACAAGTTTCTTAAAAACCCCGCGCGTCTGCGCACCTGTCCGTGTTGAAGGGGTACGCCGCAGTGAGTCGATCAGCAGGTTGCGGTGGTGTGGTGAAGCGTGGATAGACTCCCACCTCTTCCCAGACCTTCTGGCCAGTGTGGAAGAGTAGATCACACACCACAGTGGTGGGTTCGTCTAGAGCTCCCTCTTAGTGGCGGCCCTTCCACAAGCGGTGACGTGAGCAAAGGGCATTGCAGGGCCACACCCTCTGCTGTTGTGTTCCCCGATTTTCTACATGCGGATTTAGGCTGCCGTTGTGGCCAATTTTTTATCCCAGACTATTGTGCTGATGTACACACTCTGTCAAAACAGGCACGGCACCGCGTTCACAATGGTCTTCATTGCAGCCACACAGATGGCTCCGGCAAAATTCTGTCAGCGAGCACATTATGAAGGGTGGCTCGGCACGCAAGGGAGTGGGTAGCCAGCCCCACTCCCGGCCGCCTTTGTCTTCCCAGTGGCGATGTTTTGCACAACACACCAGGCGCTCGTTTAAAGTTGACTCGACCTAGGGGAGGCCCAGAGGACCGACTCGGATACTCGTCACTGTTGTTGATCCTGAGTGGGAATGGAACTCGGGTCACCGGGTTTGTAGCGCAGCGCGCTAACCGCTACACCCCATGCAGGCGCGCGCTCATATACACGTTAGTCTCCACCTAAATTGACATGACAGCTCTATTTCATTAGTTGCTTTCTCCCTCCTGTGCTTTTCAAATGATCCTGCTAATGCGTTGTGTTCCGTACAGAATAAGGAACAAGCGAATCCTCCCGAGGAGTGTGCCAAGTCACCGCTAACTAAGCGAGCAGAGCGGACAGACCGTGTGGGCGGAATCGCCCTTTTGCGAGCGAGGGAACCTGCGTGGGGTGGAGCGTTCATTTTGTGAAACCAACACAGGCGTGGGTGAAAAAAATCTGCCCCCGCGTCTATTTCCGTCAACGGTCGAGCGTTGACGATCACTGCGACCACCGGCCATCCGAGGCGAAAGCGTGACCCCTGACGAGAGAGATATGTCCACAACCGGTTTTGTGTACCCTGCCCTCCCCCACCACATTCACCAGCCGGCAGTGGCAAGCACGGTGAAGTATGGTCAAATATTCCCCCATGACCTAGACAACATGGGGAGACCTTCATCCAGCAGTTACTATTCATTCTCCCAGGTAAGGCCCACTAAGCTATATATCTCTTTTTCAGAAGCGACCTGGCCACAAATGATAGCTCAACGAAGTGGCTTACCGTGCGGAAATGTATCGCAACCAAATAATGTAAACACTTGTTGATTCTAAATTTGGAAGGGAAAAATCCGGAGGACACGGAGAAAAAAACGACGCAACCACAGGGATAGAGAGACACGCAAACTCCAAATATACAGCAGGCATCAGGGTCCAGATCGAACCCATGACCTCCTGTATACCAGGCCAAGTAGTTAACATCAGGGGCTGTAATCATTAAATGTTTAATTTACATATATAATGTTTACACATATACAAAGATCCCCCATGAAGCCTGAACAGACTGTTGGGGCAAGTGCTGTTACCAACACGGCACACGAGGGGGTGGGTGGCCAACACCACACCCGACCGCACTTTGTCTCCCCAGTGGTGATGTTTACACACCACACAAGGTACTCATTTGAGGCTGAGTCGACCTAGGGGAGACCCTTGACCGGTTCAGATAATCGTCACCAGTGTTGGCCGTGAGCGGGAATCGAACTCGGGTCGCCAGGTTCATAGCGCAGAGCTCCGCACACGTGTATACAATACTCCAACACGCACTCTATAACAAAAATCCATGTTCGTGCGCGTGTCTCTGTGTTGTGGTGAATGGCAGGAGCCGCCGCGGTTTGCCGACGTATCTCGAGAGGGCCCATCCTGGCATGACATTCAACATGTCTCGTGTCATATCAACAAAAGACAAGCCGCGGCACAGACAGTCCAAGGATAGCGTCACTTTGCTGCCATGTTTCTACTTCGTGGAGGTCAGTATGAGTGTCGCCACGAGCATTCGTTCGGAACGCTCGGCCACTGGCAACGCCGACGAACGGCACGAGGAGGCCGCGCGGCTCGGAGCGGTGAGAGCCTGGGTTCGAATCCGGGTTTCAGACACCTCTAATTGAAACTGGGTTGTCCAGTGCAGAGAGTCGATGGTCTCAGGCTGGCCACAAATGACCGCACGTGCACAATAACAACAACAAAACATCATCACCACATTCAATTAATGTGTGCACTTAATATGGCTATGTACCAGCGCGGATGGTTAAATATGAATTGGTTTGATTGTGGCACGAGAATGCATGCCAGAGTAGAGTGTGACTGAATGTGTACACTCTGCTGATTAAAAAAAAATAGGCGATGCGAATTTTTACGTTTGAAATCTGAAGAATATTTCTGCAGCCGTCCTCCAATAACACGAGGTGCACTGCTCTCTGAGATTTCCGCGTGGATTCTTCACCTCGTGACGTGACGTGGACAGTCCAATTGGAATTAATTTGTGGGGGGAAAAGATGGATGCGTAATTGCATGCTCGACACGAATGCGTCCGCACGCACGCACGCTCGCAAGCGCCGTGCCAATTTCTCAACAGCACATCTCCCGGTGCGGCAGTTGAAACAATGGGGCAGTTTTCTTAAATGAAACAAATGTTTAAAATTTTGCTTACCAGTTTGCTCGAATTAAAATCAACGGTCGCATTTTGTCCACGTGACAGCTTAATTCGTTTGGCTGTGTCCAGCGGTGGAGTGTAAAATGAACTCACGTTGTGCTCACATGACCAAAGTAGTATGCTAATTATCAATCATATTGGTCGTGAAAGCCTTAGTATGAAATAGCAAAGGCTGCATCCGTTATATTTTATCTCCAGATATATAAAAGGCAAAGTTGTGAATGTGTGTTTGTTCAAAATGTTTAGCGTACTTCCCGACATGCAACAAGCTGCAAATTTGCCATGTGGGTACTTTCCAGACTGTACACCATGCAAAAATTATTATAATACACTTTTGTTTTTTTTGGGGGGGGAGCTCAATAATGCATATATATTTTTTGCACGGCAAGTGAGCTGTGACGTCAAATCTGTCACGTGACTCGCGCATGTGGAAGCCTAACGCATTGTAGTGTAGCGGTTAGCGCGCCGCGCTACGAACCCGGCCACCACCAGTCACGATTATTTGAACCGGTCCTGGGCCTCCCCTAGGTCAACTCAGCCTCAAACGAGTAACTGCTGTGGTGTGTGAACATCGCCACTGGGGAGACAAAGGGCGGCCGGGCGTGCTGCTGTCACCCACCCCCTCGTTATTATTATTATAAAAATAAATTTAATACGTCCGTTAAAACCACACCGGCAGAGTGAGTCGGTGACTCAGACAACTCTTCTCATATCAAAGTGCCGCAGCAATGCCTCTGAGATCTCAGCGCCAATCCAGGCTTCCCACGTGGGATGAAGACAAGTTCACCAAGCCGAATGATTTCCACAGTCTCAGCCCAGTCCATTTTTGATGTGCTATTTGTTTTTTTTTGCCATGGTAAGAGCCCACTGAGCTGCGACAGCTCTTTTTCAGAAGTGACATGGCTATCACAAATGATGGCTTATCGAAGTTGGCTCATCGTGCGGAAATTTATAGCAGGCATATGATCTGAACGCACGTTGATTCTAAATGTGGAGGGAAAAACCGGAGGACCCGGAGAAAAATCCACGCGACCACGGCGTCAGGGTCTGGATCGAACCCACGACCTCCTGCATACCGAGCCGAAATACTGCACAAAGTACTATATTTTATTTAACTTCGCCCCAAGTCTTAAGCCTCGCATTTGTACACTGCACCAAGCACAAGCGAAGAGGCCGAGGTTCTTGTACCAGATGACGGATGACCATTGAGAAGTGAATGTCCCCATCCCCTGGGGTGCTTCTTGTGCATGCGGGCAAATCCGGCAATGGAAAAATTGCTTTGGCCTTCAGTTGGTTCATGAATTTGTCGTTCCACACCTTGAAGCAAAATCTTGCGGCAGAAATTTTAAAAAAAGATCACAGTAACGAAATGGATGACGTGTCATTTTGAAGGTAACTCGGTCCACTTTTGGGAAATATCGTTTATCCATTGAATAAACTAACGCAGTGGCTTACTGCAGGCTCGCACCCCTTTGGTTCCCAATCGTAAACAAATTTACAATGTTAATAAACACATTGATGAAACAAAGTGGTTGTACTTAACGTGCCCGTGCGTAATTTGTGTTTTTGATGATTTACCTTAAAAAAATATCTGGCCATGTCTCGCACCCGCAGAAAGGGCATTCTCGCACCCACAGGTAGTGCGTGCAGTCCAGGTTGTGAACCGCTGAACTAACGATTTGACAAATTTACCACCACTGTCTCGGCACGGATGAAAAAGTCTGTTCGTCCGGGTACGTCCAGCATCTCGGTATGTCTGTGCCATTTTCTCCCGTATCAAGAAAGGTCGGAAAAATAGTTCCTGGCTGAATTTGCAGTCCCAATTTGTTGACACACCATGTCCAAGTAAAAGAGCCGCTCTATGCCTAGAGTAATGAGCAGCGCTGCCACTGTGGGTGTGAGTGGGAGGGCTCCAGACACCCTCAGTCTGTTTTGACGCGGCTAAGAGACACCCTCAACAATCCGCACACTAATCCTGGTTATTTTCGTTTCATGAGTCCGCGTGTCGCCGTCGTCAACACGGAAACGCCAATTGTTGCCAATGGCGGAACCTCTAAAGACACAGCAGCGCAGCACGCAGTGGGCTCCGGACCGAACCAGTAGTCACTACCGTAGTTACGTAGAGTTAGCTCAACTATAGCGTGATAGAACTCCTCCGTGATGAGGTGGGAGGGTGAACTTCACAGACCCCATTCAAAGACGTAAGCTACAAAAATGCGTTTACTCTTATCTCTTACAACTTTAATCAGAGCGCTGTTAATTGCTGACAACTTGACACTGTGGTCCTCTGGTGCCGTGTGTGCTAAAACCACCAGGGAACTACTCCCTAAAATGACATCGCCTCCCCCCCCCACCCGCACCAAATTTTCCGAGATCAAAATCTTTATGTAGACTGGAAGAATCCGATGAGCTACGAAGCTCTTTGTCACGGACGTCCCAGTCATGGCTGCCGCCCCCCCCCCCCCCGCCGCTCCCCATGCTCTGTAACGTACCCCCTCAAAACACAAACTCACCTCCGCTCACCCCCCCCCCTCCTCCTCTCTCCATGCACTGGCGTTGACCGCGTGGGGGCTTGGCCGGGGGGGGGGGGGGCGGTGGGAACGCAGCTGCCGCTGGTGGTGTCTGCGGCCGTGTCACTCTACTTCCTGGAGCTCACCGACGTGTTCCAGCCGGTACAGGCCGGGTTCCGCTGCCGCGACCGGTCGCTGAGCATGCCTTACCTGGACCCGTCCGACGAGCTCCTGCCTTTCCTCATGCTCCTCAGCTTGGCCTTCGCAGGACCTGCGCTGTCGGTACCCATCCACCTACCGATTCATCTGTCTGCTTTCTTTTTGTTTCTGTTGAAGCGGTGGGAATAGGTTTTAGCCTTTCTGGCGATCGAACAGGAGGCGTTAAGATGTTGCAACGCCAAGGTCTGCAACAAGTCTGCATTAACCACACATACTTATGCCAAAACATGCAAAGAAATGTCCACTGATAATATACGCATTATATTCTTGGTTCTTTGGGGTAAAGTCACGTAGAAGGGAAACAATAAAATAATAAAAAATATAAAACAATATTTAAAACGATATTTTTTATTATTTTATTGTTTCCCTTCTACGTGACTTTACCGAAAGAATCAAGAATATGAATCCCTGCAGTCACGAAAGCTTTGAATCAAAATATGCGCATTGTCTTCGAAATTTATTGGCCCACACCACAGACAACCTTCTTTATGGCCTTGTCTTAGACCAGAGAACGCCAAAAGGCGAGCATGTATCTATTTGGTGTTTAAACATCGCAATACCTGTTTTATTGCCAGAAAGGGTCAAAGCTATTCTAATTCTTCATCATTCCTGATAACTGGCAAAAGGTCCCCAAATATATGTTTTCTCTCTGTCAGGTAAGGGCCACTGAGCTATATAGCTCTTTTTCAGAAGTGAAGACCCGGGGAAAAATCCACATTCGCATGGAGAGAGTGAACATTCGAACTCCCAGTATACAGGTGTCAGGGTTGAAATCCAACCCACGACCTCCCTGTGTACCAGGCGAGGTAGTTAACATCTCGTCATTGGGGTGCCCCAAACCGGGAGCCTCCGTGGTGGAGTGGTGCGCGCGCTGGACCTGCAGTGATGCTGCTACCGGGTGCCACTGTGCCAACAGCTGCCGCGAGCAACGAAGTGGCTCATCTTCGTGCGACAACGTATAGCAGCCAAATACTCTATAAACGCGTGATGTCGATTCTAAACGTGGAGGGAAAAACCGGAGGACCCGGGGAAAAATCCACACGACCGCGGTGAGAGAGAGAAAGAGAGAGACATGTAAACTCCAAATATACAGCAGGCGACACCACGGGCTTGCCGCCGCTTTGCTGCAGAGGTGTGCGGTTCGAGGACCGCCGGCCGCCCTGGTTAATACCGCGGGGCAGATTTGAAATCATGAAATACGCTGCCATCTGCTTTGCGGCGGGCGGCGGAGATCCCGTTGGCGCCATTCGAAAAATGGGAAGGCCGCTTGTGATGGCTTGACCTTTCGCTTTTGGCTAATTTGGGGAATTACCCACAAGTCGCTGAAGTTGCAAAAAAATGACAACATCGAGCCCGGCTGCTGGCAGCCTCTGCCTGTGCGTGAAGCATTGCGCTTTCACCAAATGTACAAATTATATATTACCACACCCAGCACCTCATTGTTCTAAATCCGTCTCTGCGTCTAAGGCAACACCCCCGCCCCGCCGCGGGTCTCCGCTCTGTGCAGATTCTGCTCATGGAAGGCCTCCTGTACTGCGTGCTGATCAAGCGGGGCAGTGAGCACTTGCTGGAGCCAAACATCAACGCCGGTGGTTGCAACTTCAACTCCTTCCTACGTCGATCCGTGCGCTTCATCGGTGAGGCCACGGACCATATATATTGACTAACTGTGACGAACCCAACGGGTAATACGTACCGTATATTTTCACATTAACAATTTAATATGATCACATTAACCCCCCCCTCTCTGAACTTCTCGATAAGCGCACAGTGATGACATCACCTTGCCTCTTACAATTATTTAAAATTATGGAAAATCGCCCGATGAAGCTGGTTGTAATCACAAGCGGAACGTCGTAGTCAAACTGTAAATGTTGTGAGCTTACTCTCTAACACATCGGTGTGCTGGTACTAATTGGCACGTTTTGTTTACATTACAAAACTTACTAATTGGCCGTGTCGGGTGGTGTAGGGTTTAACGACACATTTATATTTACGCAATCTCACCCGAAAACCTTTATTACGAGTGAAGCACGCGATCATCAAAGTCACGCCTGAACCTCTAGTCTTCTTCTCAGGTACGGCATTTTGAAATGCAGTCGACGATCAAGTTTATTGTTGCGTTTTGACTTTGGAAAGCCGCATTCTGTGACACCTGAGGTTGCCAGATGGATTCAGTTTAACAGCACCTCCCGAAAGAGCGTGTGTCGAGCAACGACCGATGGTGTGAGTAATGTGGGAGAACCTCAGACTCATATAGAGAAACCGACAGACTCGCACAGAGAACCCATAGAACTACCACGGATAAGCAAATGAAAGTGAAAAATCCTAATTTGACATGACGGGTTTTGTTTTTTTTTGCGCTGTCACCCGCGACTTTGGCTGAGATCCTCAATTCGCTGCCCATTTCAGAATCAGAAACTTTATTTACATGAGCTACGAAGCTCTTTATTTACTGAGATCTAGCAGCACAACCCCCCCCCCCCCCCCCCCCCGGAGGATCTCAGAGGTGCCGCATCAGCGCCGCGACCCTTGTGCCACCCATGTGCCACTTGGACTCTTCCATTGTGTCAAGGATTCAGACTCCAATACAAGGTTGCCATCATATAATAATAGGGTTTTTTCCCACTTTTTTCTGACAACAAAACTGAAACCTTATTTCGAGGATTCATGTCTGCATTAACCACAATACCTGCAGTCAAAATGCAAACAAAAAAACACACTATGATAATATATGCATTGTCCTTGAAACTGATTGGTCCACACCAAGGGACGGCTTTCTTTTGAGCCTCGACCCAATTGGTGCTCGACCAGATGACGCCAGAAGGCGTCACACAGCTCAAAGACAATGCACTATCAAAGTAATGAGGGCTCGGGGTGAGCATTTACATCATTAGACCTCCTTTGCCAGTTCCAAAATGTAATAATAGGGTTTTTCCTCTTTTATCTGTCAACAAAACTCAAACCTTATTACAAGGATTCATGTCTGCATTTACCACAATGCAAACAAAAAACATACTATGATAATATATGCATAATAATCCATATATATGTATAATATATTTTTTCATTAACCAGGTTAAGGCCCACTCAGCTATTTAGATCTTTTTTTTCAGAAGAAACCTGGCCACAAATGATAGCTCAACGAAGTGGCTTATCACGTGGAAATGTATAACAGCCAAATACTCTGAACGCGTGTTGTTGATTTGAAATGTGGAGGGCAAAACCGGAGGAGCCGGAGAAAAATCCATGCAACCACGCGTAGAGAGACACGCAAACTCCTAATATACAGCATGCGTCACGGTCGGGATCAAACCCACGACCTCCTGCATACATGGCGAGGTAATTAGCATCCCGTCACTGGAGTGGTTCATGCCCTGAACCTGCAACCTAGAGTTTGCCGGTTCGATTCCCCTGTCTGGGGCGGCAGTGAAACCGATTTGCCAGTTCCTTAAGACCCCCCAGCCTTGACTTAAAGCTTTTGTGTTGCGATCGAAACGTCGTGGCTTTTTTATTGTTATTTTCTTTGAACCTATCTACGTGACTTTAGCTTGAAGGACCCAAAGAATACCCCCTCAGCGTCTTGTCCACCAAGGCGGTATAATTGGCACGCGGTGGGGTAAAGTGTGGGTGTGCCCGCCACTCGGAACATATCTGGCCAACGTTGAAGAGGAGACCAAAACACCCTCAGGAGTTCGCTCGCGTGGAAGACATTTCGTCAGAAATGGTGTGAGTGAGCAATTGCAGTGCTGCACCTTTGCCCTATTTTATACGTAATATAATTCACTTGAACAAGATACATCTTCATCATTAGACCTCCTTTGCCAGTACCAAAATGTAATAATAGGGTTTTTCCCCTTTTTTCTGGCAACAAAACTTAAACCTTTTAACAAGGATTCATGTCTGCATTAACCACGATACCTGCAGTCAAAATGCAAACAAAAAACATACTATGATAATATATGCATTGTCCTTGAAACTGATTGGTCCACACCAAGGGACGGCTTTCTTTTGAGCCTCGACCTGTACGCCTTTTGACGTCATCTGGTCGAGCACCAATTGGGTCGAGGCTCAAAAGAAAGCCGTCCCTTGGTGTGGACCAATCAGTTTCAAGGACAGTGCATATATTATCATAGTATGTTTTTTGTTTGCATTTTGACTGCAGGTATTGTGGTTAATGCAGACATGAATCCTTGTAAAAAGGTTTCAGTTTTGTTGCCAGAAAAAAGGGGAAAAACCCTATTATTAAGATACATCTTCTCACAAATTGACATGAGAATTCAAGTGAATCAAATTAACTTCATGGCTGCTTTTATGGTCTCCCTTAACATTCATCGTACCACGACCGTGTTTATTCCAAGAATGTGAACGTCCACTCTGCAGTTCATATGCATTTATGCGGTAAATGTAATTTATTTTATAGTGTGGAGTAGACTAAAACATTAATGGAGTTAAATCAATGGCTGTAAAATTAGACACACTTAATAATGTATCATGCATGCATAATACAGCAATGCCCTTCATACAAAATACATATGGGATACATGCATACATCGATACTCACATGCCAACGTACATGTCAGCAGGTGGTTCTGCACACGCCATTAAAATAAATACGCACACAGCTCCCCAGGTTGTGAGCGCATGTCGTTCGGCAAAAATGCCAAACGCGTTGCTCCCAGGCACGCGGAGCGAAACGTCGGACATCGCTCCGAACAACGTCGGCAACCGCGAGAATCCTTACGCGGCAGTAAAATACAGTGAGGGAAAAAAAGTATTTGATCCCCTGCTGATTTTGTACGTTTGCCCACTGACAAAGAAATGATCAGTCTATAATTTGTATGGTACAGTGAGGGGGAAAAGTATTTGATCCCCTGCTGATTTTGTACGTTTGCCCACTGACAAAGAAATTATCAGTCTATCATTTATATGGTACAGTGAGGGAAAAAAGTATTTGATCCCCTGCTGATTTTGTACGTTTGCCCACTGACAAAGAAATGATCAATCTATAATTTTTATGGTACAGTGAGGGAAAAAAGTATTTGATCCCCTGCTGATCTTGTACGTTTGCCCACTGACAAAGAAATGATCAGTCTATAATTTTTATGGTACAGTGAGGGAAAAAAGTATTTGATCCCCTGCTGATTTTGTACGTTTGCCCACTGACAAAGAAAGTATCAGTCTATAATTTTAATGGTAGGTTTATTTGAACAGTGAGGGACAGAATAACAACAAGAAAATCCAGAAAAACGCATGTCAAAAATGTTATAAATTGATTTGCATTTTAATGAGGAAAATAATTACTTGACCCCTCTGCAAAACATGACTTAGTACTTGGTGGCAAAACCCTTATTGGCAATCACAGAGGTCAGACGTTTCTTGTAGTTGGCCACCAGGTTTGCACACATCTCAGGAGGGATTTTGTCCCTCTCCTCTTTGCAGATCTTCTCCAAGTCATTAAGGTTTCGAGGCTGATGTTTGGCAACTCGAACCTTCAGCTCCCTCCACAGATTTTCTTTGGGATTAAGGTCTGGAGACTGGCTAGGCCACTCCAGGACTTTAATGTGCTTCTTCTTGAGCCACTCCTTTGTTGCCTTGGCCGTGTGTTTTGGGTAATTGTCATGCTGGAATACCCATCTACGACCCATTTTCAATGCCCTGGCTGAGGGAAGGAGGTTCTCACCCGAGATTTGACAGTACGTGGCCTCGTCCATCGTCCCTTTGATGCGGTGAAGTTGTCCTGTCCCCTTAGCAGAAAAATACCCCCAAAGCATAATGTTTCCACCTCCATGTTTGACGGTGGGGATGGTGTTCTTGGGGTCATAGGCAGCATTCCTCCTCCTCCAAACACGACGAGATGAGTTGATGCCAAAGAGCTCCATTTTGGTCTCATCTGACCACAACACTTTTACCCAGTTGTCCTTTGAATCATTCAGATATTCATTGGCAAACTTCAGACGGTCATGTATATGTGCTTTCTTGAGCAGGGGGACCTTGCGGGCGCTGCAGGATTTCAGTCCTTCACGGCATAGTGTGTTACCAATTGTTTTCTTGGTGACTATGGTCCCAGCTGCCTTGAGATCATTGACAAGATCCTCGCGTGTAGTTCTGGGCTGATTCCTCACCGTTCTCATGATCATTGCAACTCCACGAGGTGAGATCTTGCATGGAGCCCCAGGCCGAGGGAGATTGACAGTTCTTTTGTGTTTCTTCCATTTGCAAATAATCGCACCAACTGTTGTCACCTTCTCACCAAGCTGCTTGGCAATGGTCTTGTAGCCCATTCCAGCCTTGTGTAGGTCTACAATCTTGTCCCTGACATCCTTGGAGAGCTCTTTGGTCTTGGCCATGATGGAGAGTTTGGAATCTGATTGATTGATTTCTTCTGTGGACAGGTGTCTTTTATACAGGTAACAAGCTGAGGTTGGGAGCACTCTTTTTAAGATTGTGCTCCTAATCTTAGCTCGTTACCTGTATAAAAGACACCAGGGAGCCAGAAATCTTTCTGATTGAGAGGGGGTCAAATACCGATTTCCCTTATTAAATGCAAATCAATTTATAACATTTTTGACACGCGTTTTTCTGGATTTTGTTGTTATTCTGTCTCTCACTGTTCAAATACACCTACCATTAAAATTATGGACTGATCATTTCTTTGTCAGTGGGCAAACGTACAAAATCAGCAGGGGATCAAATACTTTTTTCCCTCACTGTACACACGCACATCGACATTTCTAGGAAGCGCACTGAAAATATGCTGAGCGGGGAAACAAACACACAACGAAAAGTTTACGGGCACAACGAAAATTCGATATCGGGCCCATCTGCCACGACGCCGCGACATCGATTTTCTATTTTCTCCGAGGGCGGTATCCTGCCAACGCTTCCCCCCCCGCCCGCCCCTCTTCCCCGGCGAATCGAGAAGGGGGGCCCCCAGATAACCACTCTCCCCGCGGACACGCAGAGGCAAGACGCCGCCTGCCTGCTGAGCTGTAGCAGATGACGCCGGGGGAAGAATTAATTCTCAGCGGCCGCCATGCAGCGGCTACGTGGTTCCAAGGGTGGAACCGCTACTGCCACGCTTCTTCATACTAACACATACGGGATCCGTGGGCGGAACCGCATCGCTCGCCGATGCGTGCGTTTTACGGGTTCCCCATTAGCCGTTTGTTTGGCATCCCATTTACAATTTAATAATCGTTCGTGCACTTTGCCAAACATCCACATGTAGGACCACAGAGCTGGTGAAACTGTTGGTGATGGTCATGGCGTCCTTTGCACACATCTGTGATTTTGCTCGCGCACCGAATCATTCTGAGGTTGAACGAGAACTCTCCGTGGTATATGATGATGTTCGACGCTTCGCTCTTGAGTGGTGCGAGCTTCTTCAGCAACTGGCGTGTGACACTCGAAGAATTGAAACCTTCGCTGTGGAGTCCACGTGTGAACATAGGTTGAGTAGTAGATTGACATATTACATTGAGTCGCTCTTGCTGATGTGAATTGTTGTAGCAGTGATTCCGGGATTAGTCATTGCGCAAGAATCACCTCTGATAACTCAGCTGGCTGACCGCATGCCCTTGTATCTGCCGGGAGTTGATAACAACTAAAGTCAATAATAAAGACGTTATATATTTGCACGTGGTGTGGTGTGGTGTGAATGATCAAGTATCATGCACGTCAATGATCAAGACAATGATGACAATGATGTTAATAATGATGACGATGATGTCGATGATTGATAATGATCATGATGATAATCGTGTCAATTATGACGACGACGATGTCGATCATGATGATCATGATGACAATGATGACAATCATGATAATGATTGTGATGATGACAACGACGATGTAAATTATGATGATGACGGTGTCAATCACGATGACAATAACGATGATGTTTATCATGACGACGATGACGTCAATCATGATGATCATGATGAAACTAATGACAATGATAATGATTTTGATGACGATGTCGATCATGATGATGATAATTTTGACAATAACGATGATGTTGATCATGACGACGACGATGTGGATGATGATGATGACGACGACGATGTCGATCATGATGATCATGACGACGATGTCGATCATGATGATGACGACGACCATAAATGTTACAACGACGATGAAGACTTTTGATTTAAAGCTTTCGTGACACATAGAAGGGAAACAATAAAATAATAAAAATATAAAACAATGAAATTTTCACGACGTTTCGACTGCAACACAAGCAATCATCACAGCAAGAAAAAAATTCAAATTTTCCTGCTGCGGTTTTCACGCCTGATGACGATTGCTTGTGCTGCAGTCGAAACGTCGTGGGCATTTTATTGTTTTATATTTGTATTTTCCGTTATCGCTTCCCTTGACTTTACGATGAAGACGTCGGACGCGGCGACGACTACCACCACCGCCGCCGCTACGATCGCAATAACAGCGGTGGCCATCCCCCGGCAGGCATGCACGCGTTCGGCCTCTGCGTCACGGCGCTCATGACGGACGTGGTGCAGCTCGCCACAGGCTACCAGGCGCCGTACTTCCTCACCGTGTGCCGGCCCAACTACACGCTGCTGGCGGCCGGCGGCTGCGAGGAGGGCGCCTTCGTGACGCGCGACGTGTGCACGGGCACCGACCGCCGCTCGATCTCCCACGCCAGGTGCGCCCGAAGCTGATGCGGCGGCCGTTCGCGCTCGCTTCGTCTCGATCCCTGTTTTGTGTGCTTGGGTTACTCCTGACGCCTTTGCTACCGGGGCTTGGCCACCTGAACGTGAACTTGTAGTTGCTGCTCTGCATCTACATCAGCCGTACGATCTGGGGCGGCGGAGGGTGGGGGAATATATCTGTTTGAACCGTACGTAGCCAACCGCGCTGATCGGAGGTGCAAACAAAAAATGACAGGCGACGGGGAACATGAGGGTTGCCAGCTAAAGGAGGAGACGGGAGAGACAGCAAATCCAGTTGCAGAAGCAACTTGCAACGATTGGATGCACCTGGGGGAATCCGATGCACAGTTGTTGAGTAAAATGTCATGGACAGGGCTACGTGGAAGGCAGGCCATGATCACTGATGTCTTCGAGGAAGGACACGGCTCTGTTTCTGGCAATGGCGCTTCTTGGTTGCACATTGTCATAGCACGTTATTGCGGAATCAGAATCAGAATATTTATCCTGGAGAAATCCGATGAGCTTTGAAGTTTTGTTTTTTTAGATGTCCAGTCGTGGCGTTGCTGGCAATGTGCTGTAAAGAAGGGCCGTTGCCCGAAATGTCACGATCATATAATTGGTCTTTTAATTAATGCCACAGTGCTTTTTGACAAATGTGTTGAGTGTTTTTTTTTCGTATTTATTTTGTGGTCGGGTGAGGCCCACGTGGTGGTGGTTTTACCCCAAAATTCATCTCACTAACCCTCCACCACCCAACAAGACTGTCGCGTTTATAAACACAATATTATTACCTATACGTGGCAACTCATCAATCAAATTCCGACCAATTAAGCGCTAACTCACCGGTGGAGTTAGACATTTTCACGACTGAATTTAACGTTTCGCTCAAAACCGCTGTGAGCTTCATCAGGTCATGAACTCGAAATTCGAGTGATTTTATTAAATTGTTTTTGTTTTTGCCAATCCTCTTAACGGCTTGCGGATGGAGCCTTGGTGTCGTGGCAATTGGCTGCAGTTGATAGGCTGGCCATTGGAGCGTTAGAAACATGCATTTCGATCATGTAGATAATTCTGCCCTCGATAAATTTCCATGCGATAAGCCACCTTATTGAGATACCATTCGTGGCCAGGGTTGCTTCTGAAATCGATCAGTGTGTTCTTGTGTTCTTGTACCGCTTGTTGTTGAAACGTTCGAACCCCGTGCCACCTGCTGGACATCTGTGACGAAAAGAGCTTTGTCGCTCATCGGATTCCTCCAGTGTAAATACACATTCTGATTCTTAATGATGCTGCCGTGGCATTGGTCAACGTTCCACCAGAGCAGCAACGGAAATAACTGCGCGAGTTTCTGTGCAATCTGGTGAGAGCGCTAATGTTTAACTTGACGCTTAGGCGTGGAAAACATATTTTTTTTTCTCTCGAGCTCACATAATTAAGAACACTCTGCCCTCTATCAAGAGTGCAATTGCGGGAGTGGGAAGCGGTGATGCATGTCGTGTTAAGGCATACACAGGCACAAATGGGAATTGCCTTCAATGAATATACTTTATGGCTTTTGACGTTTCTCTCGGATTAAATTCGCTTTTTGTATGTAAAGTTTGGTGGATGCTGCCGTATTGTAATGTTCCGCATGCTAAACTTGTCATCTGGAGGTCGCCGATTCAATCCCATCAATTCAGTCTCCTGGCGTGGCGGTTGAAACGATTGGGCAAGATTCCTGAATCCTTCCGCCTTACAGTCCACCCAGCAGTGTACAGTAAATGTGTGCAACAGCAATAGCAGCAGCAGCAGCCACAGTCCATGGGTGGGTCGTGTGTGGTGGGGTCAAAGTGTGGGTTATCCCACCTCCTCCACAAAAGGCCAAATATCCCCTTGTCAGGGGAGAGGGCTCTCCAGAGCTCCCTTTTGCTGGAGGCCCTTCCGCCGTGCAGTGGCGTGAGCCAGCGAGCAACCGCAGGGGCCGCGCCTTTTGTTACGGACGCACTTTTGTGACGCTCCGCGTTACAAAAGTGACAGGCTGACGACCGGCCACCAGCGTCTGCGCAGAGCCGGCGGCCGGTGGCTACACAGAGCCAGCGGCCGGTGGCTACTCAGAGCCGGCGGCCGGTGGCTACTCAGAGCCGGCTGCCGGTGGCTACACAGAGCCGGCGGCCGGTGGCTACTCAGAGTCGGCAGCCAGTGGCTACTCAGAGCCGGCGGCCGGTGGCTACTCAGAGCCGGCGGCCGGTGGCTACACAGAGCCAGCGGCCGGTGGCTACTCAGAGCCACCGGCTGGTGGCTACTCAGAGCCGGCGGCCGGTGGCTACTCAGAGCCGGCGGCCGGTGGCTACTCAGAGTCGGCAGCCAGTGGCTACTCAGAGCCGGCGGCCGGTGGCTACTCAGAGCCGGCGGCCGGTGGCTACACAGAGCCAGCGGCCGGTGGCTACTCAGAGCCACCGGCTGGTGGCTACTCAGAGCCGGCGGCCGGTGGCTACTCAGAGCCACCGGCTGGTGGCTACTCAGAGCCGGCGGCCGGTGGCTACTCAGAGCCGGCGGCCGGTGGCTACACAGAGCCACCGGCCGGTGGCTACACAGAGCCACCGGCTGGTGGCTACTCAGAGCCGGTGGCCGGTGGCTACACAGAGCCACCGGCCGGTGGCTACACAGAGCCACCGGCCGGTGGCTACACAGAGCCACCGGCCGGTGGCTACTCAGAGCCACCGGCTGGTGGCTACTCAGAGCCGGTGGCCGGTGGCTACACAGAGCCACCGGCCGGTGGCTACACAGAGCCACCGGCCGGTGGCTACACAGAGCCACCGGCCGGTGGCTACACAGAGCCACCGGCTGGTGGCTACACAGAGCCGGCGGCCGGTGGCTGCTCAGAGCCGGCGGCCGGTGGCTACTCAGAGCCGGCGGCCGGTGGCTACACAGAGCCACCGGCCGGTGGCTGCTCAGAGCCGGCGGCCGGTGGCTACTCAGAGCCGGCGGCCGGTGGCTACACAGAGCCAGCGGCCGGTGGCTACTCAGAGCCGGCGGCCGGTGGCTACTCAGAGCCGGCGGCCGGTGGCTACTCAGAGCCGGTGGCCGGTGGCTACTCAGAGCCGGCGGCCGGTGGCTACTCAGAGCCGGTGGCCGGTGGCTACACAGAGCCAGCGGCCGGTGGCTACTCAGAGCCGGCGGCCGGTGGCTACTCAGAGCCGGTGGCCGGTGGCTACACAGAGCCACCGGCCGGTGGCTACACAGAGCCACCGGCCGGTGGCTACTCAGAGCCGGTAGCGGGCTGGTGGCTACTCAGAGCCGGCGGCGGGCTGGTGCTTTGTGTTGGACGAGCGGCCACCAGCGTGTGCCGTTGTCGTTGCAGGCGTTCCTTTCCGTGCCAGCACGCCAGCGTGGGCGCCTTCGCTGCCGTCTACATCTCCGTGAGTGAACTGTCGCTGCAGCGCCTTTGGCGGTCTTCGCGGGAAGGTAGAAAAAAAAAACCGGGACGCGTCACGGGAAGAATGAGGAGGAGGAGGACAACCCTCATCATCATCGTCATCGTCGTCGTCGCAGCAGTGGCAGCTTTTTGGCGAACCGTTGAACAAAGATGTTCGCCGCATCACATGCTTTCAGACGCGACATACATTGCACATGACGCTATACACTACACTGTGCACTACACTATACACTACTATACACTACACTGTGCACTACACTTTTGGCTGGCCATCGAACAAAGACGTCATCCGCATCGCCGCGCTTTCGGGTGCGCTTCTGCGGCCGTCTGGAACGCTCTTTCTTTCCGATATTTAGGAAGCCACTGGAGCTGTGCACTTTTAGATAATCTAGATTGAAAACTCATTTCTTTAGAACTGCTTTTCGTGTTTAGTTTGTTGTCCTTCCCCAAGCACCTCCGGTTAGCACGGTTGGCTACGTGCAGCGCGAAAGAAGTTCAATGCAGTAAAACCTTGGATTGCGAGTAACTTGGTCTGCGAGTGTTTTGCAAGACGAGCAATTTTTTAAAATAAATATTAATTTGATAAACGAGCTAGGGTCTTGCAATACGAGTAGCAGTACGTATAGACGCTTTGTCTGCCGAGCGTCACCTGATCACAACTGATATACTAGTGCTTTGATATACGAGTGCTTTGGATTACAAACACGTTTTCCGGGAACGAATTATACTCGCAATCCAAGGTGTTACTGTATACTTAATACATAATTCATGCATACAACTCGCAAAACGGCGAGGGGGTAGAACTGCTCGTAAATGCGTCGTCTTGAGCGGTTAATTATTCTCACGCAACTGTCAAGAAAACTCGACTCTTAACGTACCCCCCCCTTCCCGGCCCCGCGGAAGAGTCACAGTATTCCCAGGACAGCGGCCACTTTCGCAACAAGATAGTGCCGGGGAATCCCAGGACGTTCGGCAACCCTATTCAGGACGTACGTGAGCTTGAATGATATTTATTAGTCATCTCTGTTTAACCCTCGAGATGCATGCATCACTTTTTGTTCAAGAAGGGATCTTGACAAAGTGACAGCGATGCATTAGCCTTATTTCGCAGGGACAAAATAATTAATAATTCATCCGACAGTACCAATTAATAATCCGCATGACAGTAATAAGTAATCTTAGACAATATTTAAATATATACTTGAATATGTCAAAGTCCAGCGAGTTAAAAAAGGGATTTACGGAGTGGTTATAAAAGAATATGTGGTTTGAAGGCTTCCCCAAGATGCTGCCCCCTCTCATGATTCTGCGATGTAACGATTCACCGAGTGCATGCGCAGGAGCTGATTTCATCGCTCCATCTCCTTGCCGAGCGATATAACAGCATTATAAAATGTAACGGCACTGAAGGAAGTAGCCGAGAGAGAAACTAATAGGTGCATTTTAAATCCTGGAGTCACCATTTTATTCTTCACATTTGTTATTTTAAAGACCTGACCTGATTCAATCAGCCCCATATTGGCGTTCCATTGGATATATTTGGAGCTTGCTTGTCTCTCTTCCCGTGGTCACGTGGATTTTACTCCGGGTCCCTCTGGTTTTTCCCTCCGCATTTAGAAACGCGCGTTTCGAGTATTTGGCTGCTATAAATGTCCCCATGATAAGCCACTGTGTTGAGCTATCATTTATGGCCAGGTCGATTCTGAAAAAAAGAGCTATACAGCTCAGTGGGCCTTACCCTGACGCCTTTTGGCGTCATCTGGTCGAGCACCAATTGGGTCGAGGCTCAAAAGAAAGCCGTCCCTTGGTGTGGACCAATCAGTTTCAAGGACAATGCATATATTATCATAGTGTGTTTTTTGTCTGCATTTTGACTGCAGGTATTGTGGTTAATGCAGACATGAATCCTTGTAAAAAGGTTTCAGTTTTGTTGCCAGAAAAAAGGGGAAAAACCCTATTATTAAATAAAAAATGTTTAGTTTTACAGCTGAATGGCACTGAGCAAGAGGAAGTTCTGTGACTTACGACAGGCCTGACGGAGGCAGTCTTGAGCACAAGAGCCGTGTAATATTAATCATATATTAGCAAATTTAGTATTTGCCCCATTCTTATCGCAAGGCCATCGCGAAGGCACTACGTTTACAAGCGTAGTGTGCCGGTTGGGGGTGATGTTTGCGATACGGTTTGATCAAATCAAGCAACTTGCGGTTCGCTTTTCACATTTTGAACACTCTGATGATGACGCACACGTGGCGTTCATTTTCATTAAACTGCGCCATGGGATCTTGAGCATCTCTCACATCCACTGCGAAGCGGACGGTGCGTATTTATGGTAAGCACAGCCGCGGTATTAACCCCGGTCGGCTGTCGGGCTCGAAGCACTGAACATTTCAGCAAAAAGCGGTAGGTAAAGTAAAATAAATTAAAAAAAAACACATGCACACGACCGCTCGCCATGCCGCCGAGCTGGGAGAGTGCAGTAAAGACGGCCGTTTGGGTGTGCCAGGTGAAACAACCGACACCTGAGGGGGGGGGGAGGAGGGGCATATTTGTGATAATAAACAAAAAGTTAAATTTCGATGACTTCCATATTTCACGCCAGAAATAATTTCGTACGAGCGCCAAGGACATTGCCCCACCACTGTTGCGGGTTAGCGAGCCGGTGAGCGAGAACATGGCGCTCTTGTAAAAGTCACGACCATCATCGAGCAACTCCCCCCCCCCCCCGGTGTCACCATCGCCGCCAGATGTACCTGAACACGGTGCTGACCGACAGCACCAAGCTGCTCAAGGCAGTGCTGGTGCTGGCCTTCATGCTGTGCGCCGGCATCTCGGGGTTGGCGCAGACGGTGCAGTACAGGAGCCACCCTGCCGACATCTACACCGGATTCCTCCTGGGGGCGGCCGTCGCCCTGTACCTGGTGAGTGGCGGACGCACTGGGGAATTGGTGGCAATGGTTGCCACTGTCGGTGAAGGTTGGCTGTTTGCCCGATTATGTGAATCGTATTTTTCTGGGGGTGGGGTCAAGGGCCGATTCGGATATCATTCGCCGCTGACGTTAGCCGTGGCTGGGAATCGAACTCGGGTTGCGGGGTTCACGCATCGTGTGTGTGTGTATGTTGAACTTCTTTCGCACCGGACGTAGCCAACGATGCTATTCAGAGGGTGCGAGGGCAGGGCAACAAACCATACACAAAAAAAACTGCTTTAAAAAAAGGAGTTTTCGCAAGCGTATCGCTATGAATGTGTGACCCGAGTTCATAACGATCACCGCCCACAAAACATTCATTATATCTAGTAACAGGTGTTTGATGAGGAACAATCCACGAGATTCACATCTCGTGGATTCCCAAGGAAAGACATAAGCAATACATCATCAGTTTCACGTGAGCGGTCACAAAATCAGCAGACGTAACCATTTCACAATGCACACAGAAGCAAATAATAATCATCCGAGACTGGAGTTTGGACCCTTGCCAAGTTCGTTTCACAGGCTGCCACCGACCGACGAATACGCATCTTCCACTAGGACATCTGAACCGAGCCAGCACAAGGTTCCCCCTGAGCCAGGCCAGGCTTGCCCCGGCACATCTCGGACGGCGCAGTGCAAAAAGAGATTATAAAATATTCTTAAAAAAAAAAAAATTTGACCACATAAGGCCCTCCGAGCAATTTTTCAGAAGCGACCTGGCTATCACAAACGGCGGCTCAAATTGGGTGGCTTGTCGTCGCGTGGAAATTTATAGCGGCCGAATGCTCTTGAACACCAGGCGAGGCAGTCAACATCTCGCCACCGCGGCGCCCCCCCAAAGCGGGAGCCCCCGTGGCGGTGGAGTGTAAGGAGTGGCGTAACCCAGAGGTCGCCGGCGGCGGCTCGTCGAGTCGCCGCGGCGACGCCGCTCCCGGGCGCTGCTGCCGCGAGCGTGCCGAGTCGCTGCCCCACCGCGACCGTTTCCCGGCGCTCGCAGGGCCGCTTCGTGGTGGACAACTTCAAGCCGAGGAGCGCGATCGGCGGCCCGGCGGCGGGCCGAGGCGACGGCGGGCCGGCGTCCAAGCCCTTCCTCGACCTGGCCCACGAGCCGCTGGCGCGCGCCGGCGAGGGCCTCCCCGGCGCGCGGCGCGAGCGTGAGCTCGACCTCCCTCGCCAGCAGCCGGAGGGGGCGCTCACGCGGGGCATCGCGGGAGGTGGCGGCGGGGACCCCGGCTGCGGCGGCGGCGCCGGCGGCGTTTGCGGTGCCGGCGGTGCCGGCCCGCAGGAGCAGGGCGGCGGTGGCGGCGTCTCGAGCGGCTCCGTGGGCGGCGCGTCGGCGCCGTCGCACTTCAAGCGCGCCAGCCTCGACATCCAGACCATTAACCCCGACGCGCTGCCGGGCGGCGCCGAGCTGCTCACCTTCGCCAGCAACACCCTCCCGCGGGCGGGCGTCGGGCCGGCCCCGGAGGACTTCTCCGTCGTGGCCGACGGCGGCGGCGGCGGCGGCGGCGGCCACCGCCACCACCACCACCGGCACCACCTGCCGGCGATCGTGTCGGTCGGCGGGGGAGGCGGCACCGGCGGCGGCGGCGGCGGCTCGGCGACCGTGTACGCGACGTCGAGCGACGCGGCGAACGCGTCGCTCGACTCGATGCGCTCGCGGCAGCTGCTGGCGCAGTGGCGCTCGGCGCAGCGCCACTCGTCGCTGCAGAGCGCCGACTCGACCAGCCGCCAGTCGCTGCAACGGCAGCTGAGCGCGGACCGACGCTCCAACGGCGAGCTGGGCTCCGGCGTCTGCATCAACGTGGGCGACCAACGCTACCCGATCTCCACGCCGGTGTACGCCGGCAACGCGGGCGCCGGCGTCTCGCAGCAGCAGCAGCAGCAGCAGCAGCCGCAAACGTGCAACGGGGGAAGCGCGGTCAACGGCAGTGCCGGCGGGAACGGCTACGCCGATCAAGGCATCGCCGCCGGTGCCGCGCGCGTGGCGGTGCAGTCCCGCCCGGGCTCCAGCCAGCTGGTGCACATCCCGGAGGAGATGGCGCACGACGGCCCGGCGGCTCCGCCCCCGCCGGCACCGTCCGTGGCGGCGTCGCCCAAGGCCGCCGGCGGCGGCGGCGGCGCCCGGGTTCGCGTCAACGTCTCCGACGCCTACGGCAGCCTGCGCCAGCACGGCGCGGCGAGGACGTTCCAGCGGCAGCGCGGCGGTGCCACCGCCGACGCGTCGTCCTCCTCGTCCGGCAGCGAGGCGTCCGGCGGCCGCGGGCGCAGCCCCGCCGACGCCGGGCGCGGGCACCCGGTCGTCCGCGTCTCGCCGGGGACGGCGGCGGCCGGCGACGGCGGCGGCGGCGGCGGGGCGCCGCGGAAGTGGGGCGCGCTGGCGAGCGCCGAGCCGCGGCAGAGCTTCGAGATGAACGACCTGGGCGGCCGTAGGGGGGAGCGCGGGCGCGGGGCCGGCGGCGACGGGGAGCGGCCGCCGTTGGTCACGCCGCTGCAGCGCGCCGCCACCCTCTCCGCCGTGAACCTCAACGGCGCGGCGGGGGGCCAGTGCGACGCGTCGGACGCGTGGGCCGCCGCGGTGGCCGGGAGCGCGAGCCGCGACTCGACGCTGCGCCGCAAGGCGAGCGTGCCCGCCTCCGTGGTGCCGGGCCAGGGCCGCTGCCTCACGCCCGACGGGCTCACGCCACACGAGCTGTTCACGAGCCGGCGCCACCACACGGTGCACGTGAGCAGCCTCATGGGCTCCACGCAGGCCGACGTGTGAGCTCGGCGGTTGGGGGGGGGGGGGGGGGGTTAATGGCACCGCATTGGGGTCCTGCGGCTCTCCGATCCACGTGCAGATAGGTTGAGAATCTTTGAAGAGCTCCAAGCTCGTTGGAGCGGATCGCTTACAACGATGCCCACCAGAAACGTCGGACAACTGAAGAACACACTGGAGAGGTGTTAAATGTATTCTACAGCCACCGACCGCGACGAAGTGTTATCGGGCCTGTGATAAGCGTGTGTGTTAGGTTTGTCCCTGGGGTGGTGCGTATCTCTCCGTTCATATCCCTGCGCAAGCGGTGCAAGTTTCACGTTGCCCTGGCAGAAGTCAATCTCTCCATGGCAGCCCTGAGGCCAACAGCAGAAATTCCACATTCATATGGCTGGATGGGAATTTCTTTACATAGGACTACCACATACAGCATATACATACGTTAAAACCCCAAAACATCTCATGTGGCTTGAGTGAAACTACACTGAGACTCATTTCAGCTGGGTCTGTCTATATCGGTGACCCGGAAAGTATTTCCAAATCCAGCACACCACATCGAGAATACCGGAATGTGTTCGGTGAGCATTTAAAAAAGCCTTGACACTGCTACGCAAGGGGATGATTTCGGCCTACCCTGCCGCACGTCGCAATTATAACCTGCGACCCGTTGGTTAACTCAGCAGCGTACAATCGCGAGCTGTTCCACTCCTAATTTTTCCAGCATCGCACATTTAGTTTAACGCAGAGGCAGGCTTTCGCGACCAATATTATCCATAATAATGTTTTTCGAGGATTTCTCCACAACTCTGGCCGTTGCCTAATGAGGCTGGTTGTTGTTTAAACATCATACTCGAATTGTGGACGTTGTTGGTTTACTCTCCAACACACCGGTGTGCTGACCTCGTAACGAATTTGCATGTCTTGTTCCCGTGACGAACCTTACTAATTTCCTGTGTCGGGTGACGGCGGGTTTTCGCGACACATTAATATTTAATGCGATCTAACCCCCAAAAAAAAAATTCTGTTATGGATCACACAATTCACTGTCACCCAGCCTGTGTCAAATCTCACGGCTCGTTCCAGAAGCCATCGACGATACCGCCGTCGTCGTCATCACCATCGTCATCAGCCAGGATCTGAAATCTCCACCAGTTGCTCAGTGGTGGCTGACGGAGTTGACTTTGATCTCAGTTGACAAAACGGGAAAGATCTGGGCCATCGTCAGCAGCAGGCATGACCTATCCACTGCTGGATGAAGGCCACCCCACATCTCTTGCCATCAACTAATGGTCCCGTGATGCCAGAATCCGTAAATTGCTTCTGCGCATGATCTCTGTGCTCCCATCTCCTCTTCGGTCGCCCTCTTGGGCATTTTCCCTCCTTTCTTGAGATACTTTAATTGAAAACCGTCACCATAGGCAGCGCTTGGACCTCCAGTGTATTCGTGTTTTGGAGAGCGTCCGCATTAAATATGTTTATGATTACGAAACGTCAACAACATTTAAAACAACAATATTCTTCTCTGTGTCAATTCACTGGTGGATGAAAACTTCTCCAATGATGGCCATACCTCACCAAATTGGGCACTGAGGGGTTGAAGAAAGGGCGGGGGAGGGGGGGGGCAGCGGGCGATGTGGGGGAAGGTTGAGGCCAAGTCTGGTTTGAATTATTGAGCCCTAAATATGACCGACTGTCGTGCCATCAATGTGAAGTTTCTCAACAACGCCAAGAAGGACACAACACGGACACACGCGCGCACTCACACGCACGCGGCTATGGAAACCGCAGACGCTGGCATATTCAGAGCGCCCTCACTGCATGGGACTGGCTGGCGGCGGCCGCTCCCTCAGCCTGTGACGCTCGACAAGCCATCGAGTTTGAGTGGCCAACAGGCGGAAATGACTCACGCAGGCGAAGCCGCTTGTCGTCCTGCTGCTGCTGTTTCTGCTGCTGCTGGCGTCACACGCGTCGCCGCTCGGCATCGCCGACGTAAAGTCGCCGTGGCCCACGGAGCTGGACGAAAACTGCGTCGGCTCTGCTCGTTTTACCGCAGCGTGGTCTTTGCGGGTTCCTTCTCCAAAGCTTTCGCTGCTGCTGCTGCTGCGGGCGTTTTGAACTCACGAGACCGCTGTAATGGGGGGGCGGGGAGGGTTTACTCGTGAAGGTGTCTGCAGTAGTGCATGGCAAAAGCCAAAATTGTCATTTTGCTCTTGAATTCATTTTTAAAAATCCAATTCATGGCTGGCCTCTGTCTGATGAAATTGACGGCAGGCGCTTAACCCTTGCCCGTTCTGGTGACGTACGTGTACGTCATTTAAACGGAATCGGAAGGGAAAACTATAGTAAAATAACTATCGGTACCGAGGTTCCCACAAGGCCATGCGGGAGGGCGTGTGGCAAAATCAGGCGCCAGCTAACATAGAGTGCGGTCGTGTCGCTATCAGTTATCTGCGGTGAGTACCAATGTCTTTAAAAGACAACGGCGCTACGCCTCTCTAAATCAAATGAACGCTGACCGTTTGCGCGTTCTGAGGTTTAGCGGTGAACAGGACAACCCACCCTGCAACTTGCAGATGCCTCGGAATGGGAAAGCGTCGCATCCTATTAATTTAGTGCCCATAATTTTTTGCTAAACTCTTTCAGCCACGTGAATGGAAAAAAGAAAAAAATCAGTAAACCACTGCTGTGATTTCTATTCCATGAACACTTGGGGGAAAAAAATCGATAGTTTAAAAATTTTAAAAAAGATGTGCTATTCAGCATATGACAGCACGTGTCTTGGAAGCCATTTAAACTGTGTATTCGTAATCAGAAATCCGATGAGCTATGAAGCTCTTTTCACAGATGTTTTGTCTTAACATTGGCTGAAAGAATGAGCCGCCCGAGGAATCTAAGCAATGAATCACTATGTGAGGTTTTTTTTTTAAGAGTGATAGAGCTACAGGAGAAACCGGATGCATAGGTTTGCTGTAGTTTTGATGTGCATTTCCCAGTATCTTACAAATCGTATTGCATTGTATTCATGAAGTTTGTAAATTTGCATTGTATTCATGAAGTTTGTAAATTCACGATAACCTGTTCGAGATTTAGGATCGAGATAAATGTCAAGTGAAATCTTATTCCAGTCCAGTTTCCGTCGATATTTGCAAGTTTAAAGTGACAATCCAGTAAGTTGATTAACAAGGCCTTTTCTTTCTTCAAAGTGCTGTGGTTAATTTTTTTCCCCCTCCAATTTTATCCCGACCATGCCCATCGGCGTTGCGTCATGAGACAAAGTAGCCGTTCGCATCTTTCGCTGAGCAGTGCGACCCTTCCTATTCAGAGAACGGCGATCCACGGAAGCGGATATCACAGAGCTACCACTGAAATCCCTTCAAGTTACCGCTGGGGCCAGCACCTTCCCACCCGCTCTGCATTCGGGAGTAATGCTCGTCGCAGCGACGGTCGACCCAACATTTTCATTCTCAGGGCAGTAATTCAGCCAATTTATGAGCGGACTCAAAATTTGATGCGATGGTCGCTTTTGTGCAGTCATTTGTGACCAATGACCGGTCAGTGTTATGGCAGAACATTGCAGATATTGTACAGTGTTACTGCTCTGTTGATTCCACTCCATTATAAGTGCTCGGCTCTTGCATGACATGAATGCTCGCTCTTCTTTTGGTAGCTGTTGAAAACTCAAACCATTGGTCTGTACGAAGCGGTGGTTGGACTTCGTGCAGAGTGTTGACGGGACACTAAGTTGCAAAGGCATGGCATTTTGGATCATTTATTTCTTCCTGCATGGGTGATCAAATCAAACCTGTTATTTAACACGTCGTATGCAGCTGTCATCGCCCGAAGATTAATGTCGCATCATGAGGATGTGCTTTTTTTTTGTACCTATGCTGTAAAATGCATCGCTCCTAATTCTGTAGCACGCATTATGAAACGTGACAATTGTACGAATTTAATTAATATTCATATACCAAACCACATTTTAAGTCACAAGTTTTCTACCCGGCTGTAAATTTCGAAGAACATTTTTTTGTATGGCCTGCACCCAATATTCAACGTAGAATCCCACCATTGATTGATTTTTTTTCTATTACTAAAGCCTCTAGAATGTACATATAGAAGCACATTGTAAATCTGGCGGTTCCGTCCACTGGCTCGCATTCAATTAGTCTGTTCGATACGCTCACCCTTTAAATGTCACGGTGATGAATCAGAGCGACGTAGTTATACGCCACTAAAAATAGTGGTCACTTAGCCGAGATGGACATTTCTTTCATCGCAGTTCTGATAAAGGAATCGCTTACATGTACATAAATTATAGCAACGTATTTTGCATGTGTAACGCGTACGTGCGTGTTCAAGTAGCTATAAAACATGCTAAAAAAAGTGTCGATAGCAATGTACTGAGGTTTTGTTTTTAATTAATTGGCGTCATTTAAACCGACAAAAAAAATCACTGCAAAGCTTGCCTGCGCTTAGCACCGAAGGGGCCGGATTACGCTCTTCGCTGCCATACTGCGTGAACATTGATGCCCGTCGCGACGGGCTTGCTGTTGGATTTTTGTTCGTGCGCGACTCCCATCGGAAGTGCCGCCCGTTTCTTGTAGGCCGGGTACACCGGACGGCGAGCGGTCAGTCCTGTGACATTTACGCAGGCGGTGTCCTCTGTTTCAGATAAGTTCAATAGTGATGACCAGGATGACGTTGACAATGATGGTGATGATAATGATGATGGTGACAGTAATGATGGAAATAACGATGGTTATGATGACTCTGGCCACGATGACAATAACGACGACGGTGATGATGATGATGATGGCGACGATGACGATTTTACACATTTAACCGAGCACCAGTGGACTTACGAAGGCACCTTCTCTGTCCATTGACTGAAATTAGCTGTGGACAATTTCACGTTCATTTGAGGCGATTCAACAACAGTCTCTTGGTGCCTAACAATAGCTGTGATGATGCAGTTTCAATTTATAACCGATTGACATTGAAGGCTAAGATGATTATGATCAAGGAAATGTCATAACGCTGTTGGGGTGTTTTTTGTTGTATTGAAGAAAAAAGATAAGGCCCGTAATAAGTGAGCGTTTACGTTGTCATTGCAGTTAAGGATTGCAAAAGTGCATTGTACATTTTTTTGAATTAGGGCACAGATTCATAAAGTGTGTATGTTGAACTTATTTCGCACCGTACGTAGCCAACCGTGCGTCTTTTGAATTGTCACGTGAATATTTACGTCCGAGGTCGGTTTTAGCATTGCACAAGTGCTTTCTCCTCATAGTTCCTACAGAGTTATCGAGACATTTTGTATCAAGTATGAGACGTATAACGGACGTGGCAGAGCGATGATTAGGTGCTGTGGAATCTGCTTGTGGTGCTTAACTGTGTAGTTTACTCCGAATAAGAATTACAGTTTACATTTTATCACAATTATTTCTGCTTTCACTCCTAAACAGCTGTGATTGTGTATAGAAAATGTTTTACCCCTATATTCTGAGGGTATTTAACGGACACTAATTACAAATAACCTCATTCTGTGAAAAAAATATAACAGATACACGGTTGTGGTCTACCGCATATTTGTTCGGCATGATGACCGGAACAAGAGGTGTTGTTTCTATGAACCACATAGTAAACCACCGCATTCTGAGTTCCTTTCAACAGAGGATGAGGAATGGCAAAACTACACGAACACTCTCCTGAAGCCATCTCATTGTGGCCAGCAGCATTGTCATATAGCTGCTGAACACAGTGCCCATACGCAGTGATAGAATGGAATATATATTTTTTAGCATAATTGTTAACCGATAGCTGTTATATCTCGGAGCCACGCTTTATCGAATAAAAAGGGGCATCATCGCGAATGCTGAAGAGCTTTGGGCTACGTCCACAGACGGATGCCTTGTTGGGGGCAAAACTATACATCTGCAAGCGCTTCACATGATCAGCGAGTGAGTGAGCGAGATGACACGCACATAGGGTGGTGCTGGTCCCAAACATACAAGCATCAGGGGTGGAGCCCTCTTGATTCATACTATTTCAAGTGAGAAAAACAGACGGGATACTGGACAGACTAATGATGTCGAGGTAGTGAGATGAGAATCAATGCAGAGATGCTGTGAGACGAGAGAAGAGCGCTCCAGACAAGTTACAGAGGAAGGAACAATAGCAGTCCTGTAATTGGCTCGTTTATGTGAAGCAGCGTGTCAGGTTTATCCCAATTTTTTTATTTCAGCTGATATTTGGTTCACTCCCGAAAACAATTATGAAACCGCTGCCCAACGAGCTGCTTCTGGTCTCCAAACAGCTCCTGTTTGTTTTTCTCTCGCTTAGCACCGCCACTGCGCCTGGGTCTCGAGCCTGAGCCGTGAGCCCTACCAAAGCAGCCATTGGTTCCCGAACGGATTCTTCTGGCTGTGGATTTCAATGTGTACCAAGTGACCTGTGCCAAGCGGCTCCAACTTGTTGCCATTTTAGCTGTGCAAACATCACAGGGTCATCGCACACCAGTAGACATTCCCTTTCTCTTCCAACACGTGCGCCCCGATGTATTCAAGTTCAGTTGTATACAAGGCTTCAGTGTCACGATGACTTGACGGGCGTTGCTTTGCAATATGTCTCTGAAATAGCCACCGCCGTAAACACCGGTCTGGGATTGTTGTAACATTTAACAGGCCAATTTCCTTTTTATATGCATACGTAATTGTTACAAGTGTCATTGTAATAATTGCAGCTGTTTGTCAATTCACTGCTGGATGCATCCCCACAAGGTCATGGGGTTTGCTTGACTATTTTTCACCACGCTAGTCAGGGTGGCTTTGGTGAAAGGGTGGAAGAGGACCCAGAGCTTGTCCAGTAATCGTTTGCAACTCTGACGATCACCATAATCGGGAAATCAAACTCAGGTCGCAGGGTTCATAGCGCGTTACGCTATCCGCTGCACCAGAGCCCCCCACATCTTAATTCGTTTTTTGTTATGGAGATGGTAAAAGCATTCTTCACAATTGAAAATGCGTTTTGGTCACGAGGACCATGTTGGACGCACATTTCTACTGCACAATCATTGTTTTCACATTCTTAAGACCGACCTTATTCTCAAAATTGTTTGTTTCATACCGTATACGATGAGACATTTTATTTCTTTGCATTTCGGCCAAGTCGTAATCATCAATCGACCCGACATTCTGATAATTATGTTTTCCCATTAGCTGGTGTCCTATTGCATACCCCACTGATCAGAGCTCGACAATGTGTGAAGTAAAACAACCGAACAGCAGAGACAGTTCAACATCTAACGTGACCGCAAGCCTTCAAGGCAACGGCAGATGACCAGGACAATCGGGTTTCAATGCACGAGGTGACATGAGTGTTAGTAGCAGAGCTCAATTTATCATTGAATATTTTCAAAGGCCCCCCTAATCCCTTGGGCATCCCTCCTCCCTTTCCCGCCTCCCGCTCGAATGGCGGTGTTGTAATAGTTCCCAGAGCTCAGCCCTGGACAGCTCCAACTGAAGTTAAGGCCTGGGTGCCACTCACCTGCATTGGTGATCCTGGACCAGAATTTAAGGTTCAATGTTTCCGTGGCAAGAACCAGTGTTTTACAAAGGGTGGCCCTTGTTGAATTACTAAAGAGTGACCGTCAATGATGTCAGCAATCCCAGAGAGAACATCGTGGTGCCTTCACTAGACAGGTAATTACCTACAGAAGAAGCCTGGGGGAGGGAGCAAGGAAATGTTTTCTAGAGCTAAGCCCTCAAACAGCTCCGGCTGCCATTTAGCACTGGTTAGGAGGATCCATTGAAGGCACCATACCAAATACTCCAGTGGGTTAATTGCGCACAGCGTAATGAGTGCATTTTATTGAAATTTATCATTCGTGGCACCATGTTAATGATTTAGTAGTTGTTGTGGGGGACGCTGTTGAGATAACACTGTGTAACACAATTTTTGTTCCTGGGTAGTAAGTGTTATTTCGTAATTGCTTATGCCTGAAATGTATAGAAAATGCCTATTATTCCCCATAAACTTTGCTTTTGTGACCAGGGCAGTGATATTTTGAAATATACCTATTTTCAATGAGAAAACGGGCGAATTTGTGTCTTTTCGTTCACGTAAAGTCAGAAAAAAGCAACATATGAATCAAAATTAACATGTATTTATACTGAATTAATACAAAAATTACTAGTAAAGATTTAGAAGTGAGTAGTTTTTCGAGATTTACGATTATACTGTAAATCACTTTCACGAATCAGCCCCCAAATGTAGTCTCCCATCATGTTCTCGTTTTACTGTCCTTGGTAGCGGCGTTCAAAGTCCAGTGTATCCTGGTGGAAGCGCTCGCCTTGCTCCTCCGAGTATGCTCCCATGTTCTCCTTGAATTTATCAAGATGAACATCAAGGATATGGACTTTGAGGGACATCCTACAGCCCATTGTGCCGTAGTTCTTCACCAGAGTCTCAACCAGTTCCAGTGTTCGACCTTGTTATACCCCAGGAAGCCACGAACCACTGCAACAAAGCTGTTCCAAGCCGCTTTCTCCTTACTAGTGAGCTTCTTGGGGAATTCATTGCACTCCAGGATCTTCTTTATCTGTGGTCCGACGAAGACACTGGCTTTGACCTTTGCCTCAGACAGCTTAGGGAAGAAGTCTTGAAGGTACTTGAAGGCTGCCGACTCCTTATCTACAGCTCTGACAAATTGTATCATAGGGCCCAATTTGATGTGCAGTGGTGGCATCAGCACCTGCTGGGGGTCAACCAGTAACTCCCACTTAACGTTGTTCCTCCCCACAGAGAACTCAGTATGCTCTGGCCAGTCCCGCCTGTGGTAGTGCGCCTTGGTGTCCCTGCTGTCCCAAAGGCAAAGATAGCAGGGAAACTTAGTAAATCCGCCTTGGAGACCCATCAGGAATGCCAACATTTTGAAGTCTCCGATGACCTCCCAGCCGTATGCATCATACGTCAAGGCGTCCAGCAAGGCCTTGATGCTTTTGTAATCTTATTTGAGGTGCACCGAGTGAGCCAGGGGAAGAGACGGGTACTTGTTACCATTATGGAGCAGCACGGCTTTGAAGCTCCTGAATGAGCTGTCAATGAAGAGGTGCCACTCATTCTGGTTACAGGCGATTCCGATTGCCTCGAACAGACTGGTCACATTGTGGGAGAAGCAGAGCCCATCTTGACGGGTGAAGAAGCTGCAAAAAGGTTGGTGACACTTCCTCTGATCTGCGACTTGCACACTTTTATCCAGCAAGTTCCACTGCTTGAGCCTAGACATCAAAAGCTCAGCATTGGACATGGTGAGACCAAGATCTCTGATCAAATCGTTGGTCTTTTTGGTTGGAGTAGTATGGGTTTCTCGCCTCAGTTCCACCTCTGAAATTGTCATCTGGATCTACGTCTTCCTCGCTCTCTGACTTGCTGCTCTCTCTCCGTGGGTACGGGGAGCTCATGGCAGTGTGGCACCAGGGCGATGAATGAAGGAAGGTCTGGATACGTGATAGCAGGTGCATTCTTGCCAATCCGACGTTTGGCAGGGTCCACCATGCAGAAGTAGCAGTTGCTTGAGTGGTCAGTGGGTTCCCGCCAAATTCTCGGGATAGCGAACTTCATGGCTCTCTTTTCCCCTCTGTACCATCCTGCAAAAATTCATTTATTTCACCCATGACTAATGTGTAAGAGATTATCGCAACATTTTGCATATATGATTTATTTTTTAAATAATGAAAATTGTAAAACATTTTAAAATTAAAAACTTTTCCAATTTGAATTTGTTTTATCTTGATCCCTGACAGGCATGCCGAAATATACCTTGTAGGCCTCACACATCTTATTAGATGCTTCCACAGACTAATTTAGCTCTTGTCTTGATAAATTGGCCACAGACATAGCAAAATGCGTCTGCCGGATGCTTGCAGCCTCTTGATACCATCTCAGAAAAATGCAGATATGTATCCACTTTGGCAGTTAGAATTAAACTGAAGTGGTGGGCTTAAGGCCCCTGTATTTATACTATTTATATTACTGGGAGGTTCTATAATGTTCTAGAAGTTACTCCAAGTTTACTCAGCACTGAATCTATCTGGAATGTTCTGGAAAATAGGTAAATTTCAAAATATCACTGTCCTGGTCACAAAAGCATAGTTTGTGGGGAATAATAGCCACTTTCTGTACTTTTGAGGCATAAGCAATTAGGAAATAACACTTACTACCCAGGAACAAAAAAAATAGTTACACAGTGTGTTGTGTCCGTGACTGGCGATAACAATGATTCATTAACAGGGTGACAACAGACAGTACATTAATTTAACACGTGTGCATGCCAGTGGTAATTGATAAGAATGTAATACTTGGGTGTTCAACTCTTCAAACGTTAAACGTGCTCGGTGAAAAGTTGTGGGAACGCAGTACGGTAAAGGTGGATGCAGAGATGGTACAAACAAAACGTGCATGTAAAAATAAAAACAACGGCACAAGCTAAACAAACGCTGAACAACAATACCCCGATTAACACCGCTGCTACCTGATTTGCGTCGCCTCAAGCCCACACGTCGCTGGCGACGGCGTCGTCATCCGCCCGTTTCTCGTTGTCCGTCGCCTCTCAGCCTTCGCCTCCACCCGTCCCTGTAAATCGCTTCGATATTTTTCCGCGCACCCTTCAGGAACGCATCCCCCGCGTAAAACCGGGTATTACTGTAACACGTTTGATTTAAGTAGGGGGTTTTTTTTGTATCAAGACTTGCGAATTTATTTCAATTGCACCGTTAGTGTATTTAGTTATTGCCATAAATTCGTGTTTTCTTAAGGTAAATCTCTAGTTGGATTATCTGTGTGTTATTTATAATTAATACTTGTTTTGATTAACATGATGTTGAATCACGGTTTGTTATTTTTTCTTCGTCTCTTTAAATACTTTCCACTCGCATCGCTAATCAAGTTTGAACTCCATGCTACAGGTCAACTTTACATCTTGACAAAATGTTCAAAACCTATCACCGTGGAGATTTGCCCCATGGTTGGTGATGGAGACATTGGCAAA